CAGCACCATGCGCAGGTCGCCTTTTTCCCCATTGGCAATCGGCAACTTAATCTCACTAGCCAGCGCGACCCCAGCATCAACCCTACTCAAAAGAGCCGACGTAACAACTGTCTGTATTGCAGGAGAGGCTTGTAGAGACTGGTATTATCCTTCAGTCTGGTGCGCCTCTGGTTATACATCCCAGACTTATACCTACAAAGGATATACGACTGGGATATACTGTGAAAGGCCATGTGATGAGACTGAGCTGAAAGATTGCACATGGAAGCTGTGTCAAGGTGAAAGAGATGAGTGTACCCGATCTCCAACGGCGGAAAACTGCCGAACTGCGGTTAAAGAATGCGAACACAACGTGAAGATGCCTCAAGATCTTTGCACAACTCAGTCTATTGGTCAGCCCGTTCTCTACGACAAGACAAGTGGAACGTGCTCTATAGACAGAAAAGCATACACTGGTTCTTTTACTTCGGCGTGGGCCTTGAAAGTCGAATCTACGAACCAATGGCTGGGAATGAGATGCTTTGGGCTTTCCGAAGCAGGCCGGAACAATTTTGAACGGGAAGTGCGATCCAAGTTTGGGGTTAGTTTTGACGGTTTCGGGCGTTCTTCAGTGATCTGTGGGAGATTGTCCGAACATATTTGCAGTATTGAAGACAAGGCTCATCTGGAATCATTTTCGGTGTCAGCTAAGGTATTGTGCGAGCAGTCAGAACCTGCGAATGGCTATACTCCTGTTTTTGGAGCCTGGACCTGATGAAGACCTGGGAACTTTACGAATGATAAGGATTTCAGAAGCTTCCCAAGGTTGTTCGAGAAAATTATCTGTAATTCGTGAATTTGCTGTGAAAGAGACTGCAGATGTTGTGCTAAGCGACGGTATCTCTATAGGCCTATTAGCATGGTAGTTGGCAGTTGACCACTGGATGTATTTCTGCTTTCTTTGTGAGCCTGCAAAGTTCTTGAATTTGAAATAGTTAAGATATAGGGGTTTGGACAGTTTAGTTATAATTTGTTTCTATCAGTCAAGGTCAAGCAAAGTGGGTAACTCTTATACTTGATACAGCCGTCACTATACCGCTTCTGCCGAAGCCGAGAGTGGTGTCTTGTTTACCACACCGCCCACTTACCTCCGCCAATCTGCCAGACATTATCTGACCGCCCTCCGCATCCGTTGACGCAAGAAGCAAAAGTGAACTTGAAGAAATGCTCCAGCACCATCCTCGAGTGTTGTCTCTTGGAGGATTGGCTTGGGAAAGCTTATACTGCTTTTCTCTGATCTGTTTCCATCAGTAGTTTACAATTGACCTGTTCAAACGGTGAGTGGAGCCGATTCTTCCTTTCTATTGATCGTTGTCCAAAGCTCGGTATCGTCATCGGCGGGGGTTTGTCGGTTCATGTGGTACGATGCTCTAGGTTATGGAAGACCTGGATATGGAAACTGATTCAGGTCCTTTGTAATCCCGAATTGATGTTATGTGCTTTTCTCATATCAATGCTTCAAGACTATGTTATTGGGCGCATTCCTAATATGGAGCCGCTAACCATTCGTAGGTCAATTGAAAACCACATATCTTGTCAATAAGTGGATCCTCCTAGGATCATCAAATAGTAAATATGGCATCCAACTCAATCAATATTGCCTTCAGGTCTGCAGGACCTAGAGCCCGCGCAATTCCTTCTCTGCGCTGTTCTCAGCGACCGTCAATCCTCCACAGACAGCCCGTGTTTCGGCAAGCAAGCTTGAGGTATGCCTCGGATACTGCCGCGGAGACAACGGAGACCGTGAAGGAGACCGTGAAGGAGGCACCTAAGAAGGCGGGCCGGGGACTCCGGAGGACCGTTATCGGTACTTCCTTGGCTCTTACCCTTCTAGTTGGCTTCGTGTATGGAACGGATACTAGGGCTAGTGTTCATCGGTATGGCGTGGTCCCTCTGATTCGGCTGTTGTACCCTGATGCGGAGGATGCGCACCATATCGGAGTGGATGCTTTGAAGAATCTTTACAAGTTTGGACTTCATCCTAGAGAACGGGGGAACCAGGACGGTAATGGCGTCCTCGCAACCGAGGTAATGGCCTATTTTGCGGCAGAGCCTTAGAAGATTGAAACTGAACAGTTTGGGGTTTTAGGTCTTCGGATACACCCTTACCAATCCGATTGGTATTTCCGCTGGACTTGACAAGCACGCTGAAATCCCGGACCCGCTCTTTGAGATCGGACCTGGAATCGTCGAAGTGGGTGGTACCACTCCGCTACCACAAGAAGGTAACCCCCGACCTCGTGTCTTCCGGCTCCCGTCCCAGAAAGCGATGATCAACCGATATGGTCTCAACTCCAAGGGCGCCGACCATATGGCAGCTGTTCTCCAACAGAGAGTCCGCGACTACGCATATGCCCATGGATTCGGAGCGCATGACCTGGCCGAGGAGCGTGTCCTGAACGGCGAAGCTGGTGTTCCCCCAGGCAGTCTCCGGCCAGGAAGACTCCTCGCTGTTCAGGTCGCAAAGAACAAGGTGACGCCAGATGCCGACATCGAAGCCATCAAGCGTGACTATGTGTACTGCGTTGATCGGGTGGCCAAATACGCCGATATCCTCGTGGTGAATGTTTCCAGCCCCAACACCCCCGGCCTGCGTGATCTCCAGGCGACTGCCCCTCTTACCGCCATCCTGAAGGCCGTCGTCAGTGCAGCACAGAGCGTCGACCGCAAGACCAAGCCACGTGTCATGGTCAAGGTCAGCCCCGACGAGGACGCCGACGAACAAGTCTCCGGTATCTGTGCCGCAGTCCAGGGCTCTGGTGTCGACGGTGTAATCGTGGGGAACACAACCAACCGCCGCCCTGAACCCCTGCCGAAGGGCGTACCCCTCCCCGCGAAAGAACAGACCACCCTGAAAGAGACCGGTGGTTACTCTGGCCCTCAACTCTTCGACCGCACCGTGGCCCTGGTAGCTCGGTACAGAGCTCTCCTCGACCAAGCGCCCGTTACGTCAGAACTCGCTGAAGCTGCTCAGGAGGCTACTTCGAAACTGGTACAGGCGGAACCTGACTCGGAAAACGTTCCTCCAGTGGAAGCTCCCAATCCCGCTAACCAAGTTCCCCGTAAAGTCATCTTCGCTTCGGGAGGTATCACTAACGGCAAGCAGGCTCAGGCTGTCCTTGATGCTGGTGCCTCCGTCGCTATGATGTATACGGGCGTTGTGTATGGTGGAATCGGCACCGTGACTCGTGTAAAGCAGGAGATGCGCGAGGAGAAGAAAGCTTAGAAGATTTTAGATGGGGGTGACTGTTTTTGAGTACAGTATGTGTAAATAGTGTTCGGCAGTGTTTGACGTTCGTTCTATAAAAGCTAGAAATATTTGGTTTCAATTTGACATTTCCACGCTCTCAGCGTTTCAGCCTATACCTGATAAAGGAGTATCTGAATTCATCCACAGGTATCCACATGTACCCTATTTCAGGGACAGTATAACATTAACAGAGAAGAGGAGAAATGAAAGATCATGACAATCTAAGCTCGTATACTTCGTCAACCCGACCTGGCTTTTACCCCTCTATGCTATGCATATGCAGTTCATTACGGAAAAACGCATTACTACGAAGAAAGAAATCAAGCGACGTTCAACGTCTCCTCGACTTCCCTGACCACCTTCCGCACGCCCTCGATCTCATGGGCGAATCTCCCCAGGAACATGCCGTCAACGGCTTTCCCCAGACCGCCCGCGCCCCACAGGCCCGGCCCGGCACTTCCCCCATACAAAATGCGGACGTCCCCAGGACGCTCCCCAATCACCGCCTTGATGCCGTCCACCACGGCAGAAATGTGATCGACGCCAGCTGGCCTGGGCTTTCCTATCGCCCACACGGGCTCATAGGCGAAGATCACAGGCGCATGGGCGGGGATGGCCTGAAGGACTGCGCGCACCTGCACCTCGCACTCGCGCACGGCCAGCCCAACGGCGTGGGACGCAACGGGGCCCGGCGCTGTGACCTCGCCAATGCACACGAGCGGCACCATACCGTGGGCAGAGGCCGCAGCGGCCTTGCGACCGGTCTGGTCGTCTGTTTCGCCGAACAGGGAGCGGCGCTCGGCGTGGCCCAGCTCGACGATGGACACACCCATGGCGCGGAGGGCGAGTGGGGACACTTCCCCCGTGTATGCGCCCAGCGGCTCCCAGAAGCAGTCCTGGGCGCCCAGGAGGAACGCGGGTGGCAGGGTCTTGGCTTCCTGAGGGGCTAGGCTGGCTTCATAGTTTTTGAGGATCTCGTTGCTGGGGTAGATGGTCAGGAAGTCGGGGATCAGGGCCAACAGGAGCTTGGAGCGGTTCGCGGGCCGCACAATGTCATTCTGGGGGTCGAGCAGAGCGCGGAGATAGTCTAGTGTTCGGGTGGGTGTGAAGTACATCTTCAGGGAGATGATGAGTAAGGTGCTGGGTAGCACCGGGTATGTTTGCTCCGTAGCGGCCATTTTTGGTCTGTCTCTGGTTTGGTTTCTTTTGTGTTCTGTGGTTCGCTGGAAATCCTGGTCGATTGCGAGCCGCTAGTTTGACACTCGCACGCAACGCTGGGTGGGAAACTCGTAATTCTCGGGAGGGTTGGATATAGACAACCACTCTGGTGTGATTCCTGGGATAACCGCCGCGACGCTAGAAACTCCACTTTAGGCGACACGGAAAAGCGAGTTCGTTTCCTGGAGACCGGGGAAACCAGAAGTACGAATATATTTGTTGGGGAAAGTGGAACAAATCTCCGAAACACGAAAATAGCAGGGAGACGACGTTGAACTGAGGGGAATTCTGCCAATCAACTTGGTCAGTGCGATCCGCGGGGAGTCGTTTGGGTTGCGTCGTTCGTCCAGTGAGTTCAGTTGATTTTGGACCTAGTAAATTAAATGGCGCCTGAGGCCACCTGCGGCTGTGAGCGGACGAAAGTCTGGGACTAAACCAGGAGGTTCGGTAACCAAGTGGGCTTACCCAGCGACAAAAAAGAGGAGACAGTCGATCGTCCCACGCGAATGCATCCCCCAGCGGGTGATGTCACTGGCTGAAAGGGAGAGGTTTTGTGGACCAACTATGGGGATGCACCCTGTCAGATCATGGAGTCGCGAGATGTCATATGTGGGTGAATCCTTATATTATGGAGGCCGGGAGGGTGTGGTATACCAATGTATCCCCCAGTGCCAATTTGGACTCCGAGGAGGGACGTTGGCGACCATAATAACTGTTGGCGGGGGAAGGGTGTGTCCAGGAGGGGTCACTGGAACTAGTTATGAAACTATCGTCGCAACCGATCGTTCCGATATGAGGCCAAGGCGTGAAGTCAGAAACTGAGGCATCCAAGCCGTGTGTATGGAACAATACCGAACGCCATGGATGGGATGTACTGTTGCGTGCATTCCGGGTGCCGCATGGACCTCCCGGTTCCACGAGTGACGGTAATTTTACACGAGGCACCAGTCCTCATGCGGTAAGTTCTGTCTGAGAGCCTGTTTGCCGACTTTGCTGCGATTCCCTGTTCTGGTACCCTTGATGCCTCGCGGCCTAAGGACGTGATGGTTGATCGGATGGCTGTGGGCCACCAATTAATGAAATGGGTTTGGTTCGAAAGGTGGAGTTTCCCCCGGTGCAGTGGGAGAGAGCCGAGCCGGGCCTATTCTGCCCCAGTCCTTTCGGGAGCTCCTCATTAGGACATGCGAGGTCTCCTGCCCTCAATAGCTTGACTGAGATTTTTTTCTAAAATATGGAGACAAGAGGTACACATGACCTCTATATATCTACACTTGGGAATTCGCCAGGCAATCTGAGGGTCTGGAATTCAATTTTCGAGTATCATGTGCTGGGTTCGATTTTTCGACGCCCACTAGTGCCAAGCAGATACAGGCAGGTATCCTGCACTAGGCCAAGCGAAGGAGTCAATCGTTACCGTGAAGGTGCCCGCCATCATTGGTGCCGAGCTGAATTCAATTCTATCTCTGGCCACATTAATCTATGCACGTTGATACGAAAATGGTCTCCATCTGATTAACCAATCCGAAAGTACGGTCTTTCGTTGGAGTCTCCTGGACTTTACTCCTTTGGGCGTGTCCGCAGCAGTCCGTACAATCCGTGGGTACCGAGTTGTCGCAACCACCTGTCGCTATGACCCAACAATTAGAGATACCCCAGAGTTACAGCCCCTGTGGGGAAGCTACGATTGCCCATCGTGAGCGAACATGAATCCAAAGGATTCTTCAGGCGCATCGACGTGGTGCAGTGCCGTCTCGTCAGCGGCTGTGTTGGGAGGGGTTGGAATGTTTTTTGCAGATACTGCTGAGCATTCCGGCAGAACTCTAACATGCAGACGGCAGGTTTCTCGACGGCCTCGAAAGGGCCAGATAATCCCGCTCAATACACACAGGGTTGGTGGTTTGATTTGATTCCGTTCCATGGCAGTTTTTGATAGGAAACTAAGGCCTTAGGCTCTCGGCTAGCCTGGCCAGGAATAGTGGATGGGATATTATTGGCTACATGGGCTGCAGCCATCTAAACCGCGCCCCACGGGACATCGGAAGGATTGCAATTCATAGTCGTTTCATTGACAAGGGAACTCATTATGCAAGGGCTCTCTCTCTTTGACTTCGTAATAGAAAACGGAGGTGGCGGCGCCATGACCGGGTAGATATTGACTTCGCCGGGAGCTTATGCTGTAAATCAGTGTCAGTACCTTAGTAGACCTACATGGTGGTTATTTAGGAAGCTTTGGCGACCAAATAGAAAGCAATTGTCCCCTAAAAGATCCGAATGTTGCCTGCTCAGTATAACGTCCATTGGGCAATGATTGGACCATGCAACGTCTGGGTACTCTTGCACCTCATAAGCCACGCAGGTTTTAGTTCCAGGAGTTCCGACTCCGATCCCTCCATCATACCCATGTAAAGCTATGACGCCACCCGTGGGGCAGTTGGAACCAGACATCATCCTCGATGCGTCGTCCTTTGGATCCTGTTGCGGTGGGGATGTTCTGTCGGAGAGATTTATGCGCAACGAAAAAGATAGCACGGGCGATTCATCCCTTATGCTTTAACCCAATCAATACACCTGTCCGTCGCCGAGGTTTGGTTCGATGGTGAGGCACGGCGCAACCTTCCCCAGATAAGAAGGAAGAGCTAGAATTGAACTTAGTTTGACCCGGGGAGAGAATGGAGGGGGACGGGCTGACTTTCCAAGCTATATAAGGATCCATGATTCCTGTCTTCGGTCCCATCCTTTCCATTCACCCAGATACTTTCCTCCAGTCTCAATTCACTAATTCAATTCCTCTTTCTCTCAACCCTAAACAAACCGTCGCAGAAGTCAATTGACTCATATACCCCAAGTTATCACCATGTCTGCCGATCAGAAGCCCCTTCGCATTGTCATGGCCTGTGACGAGGCTGGCCAACCCTACAAGGAGACTCTTAAGGCTGCCCTCGAGAAGAACCCTCTCGTCGCGTCCGTCGCTGATGTTGGTGTCAACTCGACCTCCGACAAGACTGCCTACCCTCACCCCGCCGTCGCCGGTGCGAAACTCATCAAGGAGGGCAAGGCGGACCGTGGTCTCTTCATCTGCGGCACGGGTCTGGGTGTTGCTATCGCCGCCAACAAGGTTCCCGGCATCCGCGCCGTCACTGCTCACGACTCCTTCTCCGTCGAGCGTGCGATCCTGAGCAACGACGCCCACGTCCTCTGCTTCGGTCAGCGCGTCATTGGCATTGAGCTCGCTAAGAAGCTTGCCAACGAGTGGCTGACCTACCGCTTCGATCCCAAGAGCGCATCGGCCGCCAAGGTCCAGGCCATCTCCGACTACGAGGCCGAGTTCGCCAAGCTCAGTAAATCTTCTGATAATGGCGCTTGAAACCATGCGCGAGCGAACGGATCGCGTGTCGACGATGCCATCTTCGCGACGGCGCTCATGGCTCACCGTTCGATCATCGAGATTCGTTTGGTCGAAGCATCCAATCACTTCTCCCTTACGCCGTGTTCTTATACCTCTTCCGAGCGAGGGGACAGCATCCTGATCAGGGTGGACTGCTCCGCGAGCTTTTTTTTATAATATTGCATTCACAAAATAAGTCAACGATACCACGAAGCGCTTGGAATGAATTTGGCTGGCCGAATTTCCCTTGTTTTGTTTTACTCCGTCCTGGCTACTAGTTGCTAGATCGCAGGGTTAGGATAGAATGAATATTATCTTTTGAACAGTACCGCTATCCCATCACTAATAACCACTGAAGTCTAGAAATGGATGAAGTAAATCTGAAACATTACAATACCAACACATAGTTCCATAAAGAGTTAGAACGCCAAAAAAAAAGAACGTTGCTGACTGATCCGATATCCTCCGCCATCATTCTTTGTGCATCGATCAGCTTCGATCTCAAGAAACAGCGACAACCCTCTTTAATCATGGAGACACATTCCCTCGTTCTCCTTCTTCATATCCGGTCACACCGACCGAACACAGTCAGACTTACCGCCCGTCACCCATTGGGCTGACACCATCCGGGACTTACCCGACGACACCAACAACCACTACATTAGTAGTTTCAGATCCCCGTTAATTGCCATCCCGCTCGCTTTATAGCACCAAGACCCCCGACAATAACAGGTAGATTCCCAGGGTCAGCGACAACCTCCGCGCCCAAAGCGTTGGCCTCGGTTCCCAACCCTCGTTGCCGTCTGATCATTCCGTTCCAGCGGTTCTATATAATTCTCTTCTTTTCTATCTTTAGTTCGGTCCCAGGAGATCACTTAGTTGCGGACACCGTGTGGAGCGCCCCACTCCAATTTGGCCGATAGTCGCTTTGTAATTCAACTTCACAAAAAAAAGTAACAGGAACGGCGCATCGCACATTGGATACCGAGGAAAGTTCGTGCTTTCTCATTCTTGGTTATATATCGAATCAAATCATCCGATCTAGACAATGGCGTTTGAATTGAAGGAGAAGGGTAACCAGCTCTTCAAGGAGGGCGATTACAATGGTGCCGAGGAGCTGTATTCGCAAGCGTGAGTTTCGCTGATTCTATTCGATTTATGTTGCATCATTCCCAAGAAAAGGATGAAAAGAAAAGGGGATTTTTTTGTATCTACATATCTGAAAAACAAAGACCACACCCCCCAGGCTAATCGCCAACGTGGCATAGAATCCACAAGAATCCGCGCGAACCGACGTTCTTTACGAACCGCGCTCTGACTCGGATCCGGCTCGAGCTATGGGAGGGCGTGGAGCATGATGCGCGCGCTGCGATTAGCCTGTATGGGCCCAAGAGCGCGTCCAGCCTGAAGAGCTGCTGGTACCTGGCGCAGGCGCTGTTGGGACTGCAGCGTCCGCAGGAGGCGTATGAGGTCGCTATCGATGCGTACCGGGCGAGCCTGGCGGCGAAGAACGTGCAGACGGAGAATCTGTCCAAGGCGGTTCTGCGCGCGAAGCAGCAGATCTGGGCGCACAAGGAGACAGCACGGCTGCGGGAGATGAATGCGACGCTGGCGAGTGTGGAGGCGTTGATTGAGTCGGACTTGAACCGGGCATTGGCGGAGTTGCAGGGAAAGTTGGATCGGGAGGAGATTGGACAGATTGGGTTTGTGGAGGATCAGAAGGCGCTCCGTGAGGATGCGAAGAACCATACGCAGAATGTGAGAGATGCGTTCCGGATTGCATCCAAGGGGGACATCCAGGAGAGGGTGAGTTTGTCTATCGCAATCGGAATGGCTGTGGTGGTACTGCAGTGGGACTGTGCTAACTGTGTGTGGCAGGTTGTACCCGATTACTTGGTCGATGGGATCACCTTCGAGATCATGCACGACCCCGTTATCACTCCGTCTGGAACCAGCTTTGACCGCATCGGCATCCAGAAGTACGTTGAGCAGGCCGGGGTCGACCCGATTACTCGGACGTCTATGACGGTCAATGACCTGCGGCCAAACTATGCGCTTAAAGCGGCGTGCGAGGAGTTCCTGGACAAGAACGGCTGGGCTGTAGATTGGTAGTGGAATTTTGCCTTCTAGCCTATTGGTCTTTTTCTTTTTCTTTTTTGTTTTGTACTTGTTGTTTTAGCTATATGTGTGTTGTAGCGACGAGTTACCCTATTTTGTTTGCATAGTGGCGTTGGGAATATTGAACGATATGGATACCTGACATGAATACACCCTCCACCCACCCAGGATCAGAATAATTACTACGTACAAGTAATAGTAGACACATTCTATACCATCACGAGCTAGCCAGAAAGACAGAATCAGGTGCCAGCCATGTGAGTCCCAACAAACAAGTCACCCAGAAATTACCCCACCAAAACGCAACCAAACAAACAATTCCCCCCACTTCGTCTCCCCTCCCCCAAAACCAACAAAAGCCTCATCTTCTCTGCATCCAAAATACTCCCATCCTCACTACAGAACCTATCTTCTCAAACCAAATCAAAATGTCCGTCGACGCCTTCTTCGAGAACCTGAGCTTCGCCCAGTCCGGCGCTAAGTTCGCCGAAATCCAGTCCGCTGCCGCCGGCATCAACATCGATCTCCTCAAGGCCGCCGTCGAGGCTGTCCTTGGCGGCGACGACAACGCCACGGTCGAAGGCCCTCTGGCTGATGCCCTGAAGGCTGGTTTCGAGTTCGCGACTAAGCTTGTTAAGATGCTGAGCAAAGAGCCCGGTCAGATGGAGATGCTCACTGTATGTGCCTCATCCTTCCTCCTTCTAAGGTTGGGTTGAAGCCGATGCTGATGGGTGAATGAATAGTTCTACAAGTACTTCAAGCGCGCCCGCAACGAGACCCCTGCTGAGCCCTCGTTCTACCAGCTTGAGGTGAGTTTTCTTTTTCCTTTGGCTATTTTCTGTGAGGATGGCGACTGACGGGTGATTTCTTTTCTCTGTAGTCGAAGTACAAGTATAACGCCTGGAAGGAGATCAGCCACATCAGCGAGCAGAAGGCCCAGGCTTTGTACATCGAGGAGGTTAGCAAGGCCATCGAGAAGCACGGTACCCGCGAATAAGTGTTGGGCGTGATTGTCTTGAACTAGGGAGGAATATGAACTTGGATACTATGGGCTTGGTGACGAGTTACGAACGACGTTAGATTACTGCCTTTTGCTGTTATCTACATGCTTCTAGTGCATATACAGATTTTGGTTCGTTTGATTCCGGTAGCATGTGGGCTAGTCGAGTGTCCATGTTTGGCCGAGCCAGTCGGGTTCGGAGTGTTGCGCTGTTGCGCACCAGGGCGTGTCGTGGGCTGTGTAGGGTGTTAGGGGGAGGTCGTAGGGCATGCGCAGGCCGATTACTGTGTCTGTTGTTTGTGTGTTGTCTTTGTTTGCAAGAGATTCGGGAGTGTCGCGTTTGAAACTGGGGACCATGGTGGCGGACTCGGCGTCCTCCACGTATAGTTGCGGCCATACCATGACCCCTATCTCCCAGCTGCAGATCCTTACCTCCCCTGCAGTGTTGACAGCTGCTCCCCATGCCTGTGTAGAGAGGTTCGCTGAGGTGACCATTGCCCAGTCGATGGTGTCCATTTTCTCAGCATCAGAGAACCGAATATATGTTTTGATATGTGGCGCGGCTCGACGACGGCCTGCGTCTTGTTTGGATGTAGGACTCGGCTCTGCCGCGTCATGATCACCCGCCCAGTGTCGAAGGTACGGCCGCATGTACTGCAGTTGTTTTTGCTGCGCTGCGCTTTGGAGTTTCATGTGGATTGACCCCCCGGAGCCGTAACCGTTCAGGGAACGGCGAATCTCATCAGCCGTAGGGAAAATGATAGAATACTTGGGTTGTCGAGTAGATGCCGATGCTGGCGAAAGGGATGCAAACAGGACATCTTTCAGCCACTTATCTGTCTGGCCCAGTGTAGCAACGGAGGATATCTACGCGTGTCAGCATGCAATGTATGCGAGTACGTTGATACAGATAGACCAACCTGAGTAACAATATGTGGTGTAGTAGCTTTACTGCTATTCTGAGCCGGAGAGATGCGGCTTGTGATATCCTTCAACGCAGGCCAACCCCATAGCGTCTTCTTCTGCGAGTCGAGATCGTTGATCTTCTGCTTCGACGGCACACTAGCTACCAGTGCGGCACGAATAGCTCCAAAGTCGTACTGCCTAAGCTGGTTGACCAGCGGGCCTGTCTTTTTCGGGCCATACTCACCCAGATAAGCCAGTAGGTCTCTCTTAAACCGTGCACCGCTACCCAAGGCTAGGTCTTCTTCTTCCAGACCATCCGTCTTTAGCAGCGGCAGTAGAGGCGACCTCCAAACCGCCTGAGACATATTAGCCCAGTCACCGGGGATCATATTGGCCGTATGAACGACGACCCTAACAAGGTTAATCACTATTCGCCCACAACCCAGAAGAGCAGAGGGGAGCAGAGCAATACATACTGCGCCAGATCATCATGTCTCAGCAGAACCATCATCTTCGAATGATGCGTACCAAAGGCCTCTGGCATGTACGCCACAATAGCCTCCACATTCGGGTATCGCGAACACGCTTCCTGCACAAACACACACACACGATCAGTACGCCTACAGTCCCCAATCTATCATCAACTCCAAGCATGGATACAACAACAACAAACATACATCAATGCGCACCCGATTCGGCGCATCCCGTTTCCAAGACCCATGCACAACCTTCACCTTCACCAGACGCCGTACATCCTCGTCGAACTGGCTCATGATGAAATCCACATCGTGCAGGTAGTTGAACTGCCAGCATTCGCGGATCAACGGATCCCCGAGCACATCGCGCAGTCGCACCGTGTCTACGTTGTTGTCTGAAGACGCGGCGAGATCGCGGATATGCGTTAGCTGGAATGGGGAAGGTAGCACACGCTGTTTTGGGTTGCTTTCTTCTGTAGGCTGAGCAGGCGGCACAGACTGCGATTGGGATCTCCTTTGGGATCTCCGGGATGGTGGAGATGGGGGCGTGATGGATCGGCGGAGTGATGCCAGCTTCCCTTGGATAGGGGGAGTCTGCTTTAAGGATTCGTTATTGTCGGGTTCTACGGGGTTGCTGGAGGATAGTTTGATGCGCTTTGCGGGATGATCGCCAGCCATTGTTGTATTATCGGGTCTTGTGTGGTGCTGCTGCTGTGGCCAGGAGGTGGTTGCTCTTTGTTGATACGGCGGATGATACAATGTATGGGGCCTCAGGCCACACGTCATGCCAAGTCTTGGGATAGAGGTGAATGTTCTATGTGGTGGCATGGGGGAATATTGAATAAAAGATAATATTGGGGTTTATAGGATAGTGTAGGATGAAGACTACTAGTTCTTTCTGGTCTTTTCTGTGTTTGGTCTGTCGCCACTCGCTAGGACCTGTTTCTCGCTCGGCTGCGTTGAGATGTATATACTTACCCGTTCAAGGCTTGGTGGATGTCACATTCCATCTTCAAGTTAGTATATCTATAGCTAAATATTATAAACTTACATAGATGCTTAAACTGAGAGAAGTAATCATGAGCTTTCAAACAAGCTACTTATTGTGTATTATTATTATAAAGTATTTTGGATGTGACTCACAGACTCATAACCATACTTCTAGAGCATTACCTGCCATATCAATGTACATTGTTTTTAGGGATAATCACTAAGGGACGAAAACTTCTAATATACAGCAATTTTATAATGATACAGGCTTTCTCTAATCTATATACACAGTGCGAAACTGCTCAATTAATAATAAAACAATTTAAGAAGGTAAAGAGATAAAAAGCGATCACCACATGAACCGTTGGATCTTGCCAGGCTCCTGGGGCCACTCGAAACCCTTGTAGAGGAAAATGTATCCGGTCACAACGTTGATGACCAAGAACCAGAAGGTTTCCACGAATAGTGGGAAGTTGGTGGCGATCTTCGCATGCAGCGCTTCTTTCGCATTCTGAGGACGCTGCTCCCGGTAAACGAGCGGCGTGGGCTGCCGGGGGAGATGTAGTCGCCACATTACCCAGGGGATTATGAAGTATCGTGGCTCAACCAGCGGCGCAGTGATAAGTGAGAGAGCCGTGGCGGCAAGCCAGACAAGGACAAAGCTGACTCGCGGCGCATTCGGTTGCTGCAGTTGGCGTTGCTTGATCGCCTCTTGGATTCTCGCGAATGCTTCCGGTGTTAGCTGTTGGGTTTTGGGAGGCTGAGTGACTTTCCTAGAAGGCTTCTTCTTGCTGTCGCTCTGTTTTTGGGCTTTTTGACCTTTCAGAACAGATGGCCGGGAGGCCGGCGTGGGCTGTGGAGCTTGGACGAATCGAGGCGGCGGTGCAGTAGTCGAGAAGCCAAAGGCTGAAACAACCGCCCAACCGCAGAGGAAGTAAATAATAGTCGCGGCATATTTGACAGCTGGATGAGTCCGAAGAAGAATGCGAAAGACGTAGAAGACATAGTGACGGTTGTCGGCGAGTGTGAAGGGGTGGACGATAGTGTTGTAGTGAACGGTGGCCAGCATAACAGGGACGATCGTGAGAAATGTCAAAATTTTGGGGAGACCTGTCTGCTTCTCGGAAAAGCCATAGTGCATGAACTTGGGCAGAGAGATTTTGGGTAGGATCATATTTGCAACCGGTGAAATCAGGATAGGCCACGAGAAGAAAAAGATATAAGGCCAGATATACAGCATCTGAGGCAGATGCAAGCCCGCAGTATGGAATTCTTTGTGTCCTAACAGATTTATGAGACACTGGATATAAGTAGATCATCGTTGAACTTACCCAGGACAACCCCATTATTCCACAACACAAAACCTCCGAAGGCCATAAGAATGACCACATATGGGATTGAGGAGATAACAACCTGTCCGAAGTTACCAAGCGCAGCAGAACAGAGGGAAACGGCAGTTTTAAAATAATCTAGAGCTCCATTAGCAAGATATATACCATGAGATCAAGGTAACCCACCTGCCAATGAAGCCTCTGATACTTGAGGGTCATACAATTCATTCTTGAAGCCTCCTTTGGCAATATCCGCAAGATTCGATGACTGACATGTCTTGGCCGATGTCCGCAATGTCCGGATGACCTGCAATCCGCCTAAGAAAACCGCGACCCAGAAGATGTTGGTCTGTCTAAAGGCTAGGGCAGCCACCCCCAGAAGGATGAACAGAAAAGTCTGACCAGCGGAGGCATTTGGAGTCGATCGTTTAAGGTCCCAGTTGTACGCTTCAATTACGACCAACAGGGCAAGGATATCGGTATAGTAGAGGCCCGAGAAGAAGAACAACGGCGGAAAGAGACAGATATTCAGTACAGTGTGGCTTAGCCATGCGCCAGATGGACGGGTATTGCGTTCTTTGCGTAGGCTATCGAGCAAGGTCTGCAATCTCAAGGGCAGGAAGATGGTGGCGGCTGCAACGTTGGTTGAACGGAGTGCTTCCGCATTGAGTTCCGTCAGGGAACCTCGAAGCAAAAGCGCGCCAGCGCAAAGAAGATACGACCAGAGGTATAGTCCAGGGGGCGTAGTGATTTTCGGGTCCCAGTGCGTCCACTTGTGATGCCAATATGCTTGAGCTTGAGGAATATGGAAAGCTTCATCCAGATACGGCTCCGGAACCACGGCATTGACCCGATTCATCCATACAGGTATTGAGAGCAAAACAAAAGGAACCGCATAACGGGCGGCAAGAGCCAGGCCCGACTGAGGCTGAACGGCGCTCATAGTATTGACTTGGACCAATTGACCATGAAGCTGGAATGATTGAAGTAAAGAGTGGAATCATGAAGCAAGTACGTCAATAAATTAAATTGACCGCGGAGACATTAATCCTGCAAACAGAACAAACACCCACCGCATTGGGCAATTCTATATCCCCAGCTTTATCCATGGTCTAGACGCTGCGACGATCATCGTTGTCTTCTTTACTGAACGTTTTAAATGATATGAACGACTGTCGCTAGGACTTGTGCATCCCGATAAGGTTTTTTTCCTGTGTTCTCTGAAATCTTGACGGCCAATGGCCTTTCCCCTCCCGCGGGGCATTACGCCCCCGGAGATATCCTTTCTTGCTGAAATGGAGATGGTCACCATCATTCCTCGTCAACGCTTGGAGGGATTGGAGCTTCTTGGGGTAAGTATCTTGTTCTACACCCATGTTGTATTGACGAATATGTCTCCTGCCCATCTGAATCATGTATACCAAGCAAAACAGCCCAATGAATGAGAAAAGACGGCGGGGCAGTGTTGATAAAAGAAGGAATATACCAAATCAATATTCAGTCTACTTGGAGGTCTATATGCATCTAACATGATGGATCAGGGCCCCGTTGAGCCTCTCCTGCCACCTCGGCGCGCTTCTCTTCCGCTCTGGCTGGCTCTCCTCCTTAAACGCCAACGCCGCGCAAATATCCTTCCTCCGCCCTGGCTCCATCCAGAATCTCTTTCCCTCATCCTCGAAATTGAAACCCAACACCACGAGTACCAGCATGCATTCTCCGCGCCGCCTCCACTTCCAGGCCAACCAAGCCTTCGAGATCGCGGAGAACGACCTGTCGCTATGCCTCGCTATACCCCAGATGGCGGACGGTACTACCCAGCACCGCCATTCCTCCCCCAGAATGTCGCGCAGGACCATGTTCCATCTGGCGAGGCTCCATCACTGCCATTTCACTGGCTAGAAGTTGGAACGATGCTTCTTGACGCTGCTAGTGATGACTTAGTGGACCCGGACCAGACCCGAAGGCTCTTGAAAGAACTGCGTGAGGTGCGAACAGCTAAGATAAGATCAGGCGTGGATGCGCTAGATGCTGCTTCCACTGGCGGGGGTGGGGTAGCATTAACCGGTGTCGGGGCAATGGAGGTTGGAGAGGGAAGAGGCTTCATTGCTGGTGTTGTCGATGGACTAAGGTAGGCTAACCACCCACCTTGCTGAAACAGAACGAATGGGTTCATTGCTAACCTCAAACCTTACTGAACAGAAAGATTGGTGCATCAAAAGAGCAAGCGCGGAGAGAGCAGATGGCAGAAGATATGGCCAATGGTGGATATGACGCTACGCAAGACGACGATGACGATATGGAGTTCTAAAGGACGCATCTTTCGTGGTCTGCTCATTTAGCTTCACAGCTGAGGTTTCGACATCTCGGCATTTGATTCTCCTACGGCCTGATTAGCAATAGGCCAGGCCACGGCCTTGTTGCGAGAAGTGCAACCTCGTTGTCCACGCGGTGAAGTTCTCTCTTGGAAGCTTATGAGGAATGGGAGATATCTTCCAGGTATATCCTCAGCATCAAGACAGCAACTTCAATGGAAAGAGGTGTTACGACTTATCCATGATAGATGGTTACATGTTGGATAACCGAATGATTGAATATGGTCAGCTAATGTATTTAACTTTTGTTCATATATACCCACTTAGAAATACGACCTATAACCCGCCCGAGGGTATACCTATGGATTACCACTGTGCGTCTCACGAACGAGCATGCTAGATAGTCTATTCAACTGCTGTTTACACATGATAGTTACGTGTGGAAATGTCGACTTTGCTGCACAACTCAACAGTCGAATTCAGTGCACACGACATATTGCCTATCCAGGTCATTGCGCTAAAACGGCGGGACTCGCACTTCTAGATACCACCGGAACATCAATTAGGATATTATGCTAAGTCTTCAAAGTTTAGGTTTAAAAAGATAAGAGAGGTATACAGTATAAAGACATAAGCTCTGTCTCCCCAACAGAGTATTGAAAAATGGGAAAAAAGAAGAAGGGTGAGCTTTTCAGATGCGGTGAACGCACGTTTAAGAAGCCCACTCATGTACGGTCGAGGAGATATACCAAAACCAAAATCTATTGCATGACACATTGACGCCAGCGCTTATGCGTTCTCTGATTGAAGTGTTTGCTGTACAGGGGATATATTAGTTTGACTGGAACGAAAGGCGTGAAACTTGAGAGGAAACAGTGGGTACTCACCACCAACCAATCCATGCCTTCGTTAAGACCCTTACCATCAATAGCCGAACACGCCACGATACTCCAGTTTCTGTCTCGCAGTTCGCCAAGCTTCAGAGCCTCCGAGATCTCTCCAGCTCCCTTGGCGCCCGGCTGGTCTTGCTTGTTAGCGAATACCAGCAGGGCGGCCTCGCTAAGTTCCTCCTCATTTAACATGGCCGCAAGCTCATCTGCAGCTGTGCCCAATCGTTCAATATCTGTAGAGTCGATGACGAAGATAACAGCAGCGGTGTTAGCGTAGTAGCATCGCCAGTATGGCCGGATCGATGTTTGACCTCCAAGATCCTAAAATAGAAGACAAAGGTATCAGCCATCATCCCTTCACTTTGTCGTTGGCATATTTGAGATGCTCATCACAATATGCTTACCCAGACGTTGAAATTCAAATTTCTATATGTGACCGACTCAACATTGAAACCGATAGTAGGTATCGTTGTGACGACCTCGCCGATCTATGAGATTAACCGATCGTCAGCATAGCGTTCGTGTAACATATTTTAATTCGGAGAGTCGTATTGCAACATACCTTCATTCTGTACAGGAGTGTAGTCTTTCCAGCATTATCCTGCACCATATCGTGGATTAGCCTCGAATTTCACTGATGCCTAGTGTAAGGCTATAGTCACGTACGAGACCTAAGATGAGAATACGGATTTCCTTCTTTGTCCAGAGGAAGGACCATAGACGCGACAATGAACCACCCATATTGGCGTTTTTGTTTAACCAGACAACGCGACCCTTAATCGGAGATGGGAGGGCTCAAGGGAGGTGTTGCGGAGGTGTGAAGTGGTTGGTGTTGGCTGGATTGACGGCGTAGATGTTGACGGAATCGGGATGAATGGACAATAGGATCAATTCGGGGATTTCACGAGTGGTTTTCCAACAGTTCAGTGGTGCGATACTGACGAAGGAAAAAGGGAAATCGGTATAGCAATAATGACGAACAACACAGAAGCAATAGCTGACTAAATGTTGTATGAATGGGAGGGATTTCTGGATTGTGGCAACGATTGGCCGTGCGGATGTGCTGCGGCGCCGATCGGTGTTGGCCCAAGCTCAGTCTTTCTCGCTCTCTTGGGTCATGGGGATGGAGAGACCCTGCGCCATTGCGAGTGGCAGAATTAACATGAATTGATTGCCGCGCAGGTTCCATTCCATCCTCACCTGCCGTTATTGTTACAACCCTTTTTTTTATAATAAATTACCTCTTCCTCCTATTTCTCTTCTCCCCAACAACATCACCAACCACCCCCGATGGTGTCCGCTCCGATTGTCCACCTCTAGAATTAAACCCCCCGAATTGAAGAACTTCCTGCGATCGGCTTGCGACCAGCGCCGCATTACGTCCCGAACCAACTTAACATCGTCCATAGTCATCCCTCTATCTCTGATATCGCCAAATAACACACCATGGTTGGAAAGAAATCTGGAAAGGCCCTCCTTCGGGATGAAGGTATGCTCACCAAATATCATTGTGCATGGATGGTTACAAGTGCCATGGGGAAGCAAGATGCACCTTGTTGAGAGCAATGCGCTAACGGTCGGATGCTCCCTAGGCCTTGAAAGAACAGACAACAACATGGAATTATCGAGCTGGCCTCAGATCCCTCCCATCAACCAAAAGAACTATTACACGTACGTGGTTCGCCTACACCATGGCGCTTTCCGTAGCGTCCTGTTCGGACAATATACTGAACAAGTTCCAGTGACTACCTTAAGAGAGATGACCAGTATCTGGCGTTTCGACTACAGAATGAAGAAGCGCGAAATCGCATGGCCAAAACGGCCAAAGACCGGGACCGTGCTCTAGCTATGGCCAAAGCGAATGACCTCGGCATCCCAGAAGCCGATGCTGACGATGGCGATACCAACATGGAGGATGCAGAGGAGGCTACAGCAGAAGCCATTGGCTCGAAGGTCATTGTTATACATGTTGGCAGCCAGAATCTGCGAATCGGACTTGCCAGTGATGCGTTACCGAAAACCGTTCCGATGGTCATTGCGCGGAAGTCTACAACCAGCGAGTCTGAGGACCGCGAAGAGCCTTGCCCTAAGCGATTGAAAACGGATGATGGCTCCGAGTTGGAACCAGAGAAAATGTTTGGTTCTGAGGTTGGTTCTCGTGTGCTCTTCGTTGCAGCCTTAGTCTAACTTTGTGTGTTTTCTGGTCATAGTTCTCTTCACAATACACTACGATGGCCGCGGAACTCAAAACACACATGCGGCAAAACAAACGCAGGACCCTCCCGAACTCCAAGGAAATGGTAATCAACTACAACCGAAGAACTGTGCCAGAGACGATCTCAGAACACAATGACCCAATGCGGGTTGAATGGACAGAAATCCCGGACGCCGCGCCGGAGTATATAGTAGGCCAGGCAGCTTTGAGGATCCCAGATGCGTCGACACCTCGCTACAAGCTCTACTGGCCAATGAAGTATGGATGGTGTAATGAGCGTGATTACAATAGCAAAAGACTCTTATTCCTGGATATCTCGTTGATTCTTGAAGATGCAATCAAGAATCAGCTGGGCCTTACAAGTAAAAAGGACTGGCTACAGTACTCATGCGTGTTTGTCATTCCAGATCTTTATGAGAAGTCCTACGTCACCCAAGTTCTTGAAATGCTCATGCGGGAATTTTCCTTTGCCCGCGTCTGCTTCATCCAGGAGAGCTTGGCTGCTACATTTGGGGCGGGATTTACATCGGCTTGTGTGGTCGACATCGGTGCGCAGAAGACTTCGATTTGCTGCGTGGAGGAAGGAATGTGCATAGAGAACTCGCGTGTGAATCTCAAATACGGCGGATCGGATGTGACGGAAGCATTCGTCAAAATGATGTTGTACGATCATTTCCCTTATGCGGACATCAATCTATGGCGTCGGTACGACTTTCTACTTGCCGAGGAGCTGAAAAAGAACATCTGTACCATGAATGAAGCCAGTGTCTCAGTACAAGTGTTCGACTTCCACCTTCGTGTCGCCGGCCAGGACACCAGAAAGTACACTTTCAAAGCTTACGATGAGGTACACCTGGCGCCCATGGGATACTTCCAGCCATCCATTTTCGACCATTCACTAAAGCTCAACGGACGAAGGGAATTGATATCCCGTTCTGTCGACATCTATGACGGCCAACCGAACGACCCAACATCTGCAGCGCAATCAGAGCTCTTAACAGCCATTGCTCCTCCTATCAGTGGCCAGGTGAATGGCGACACTCAGTCCAGTACTCTGGATGTGCAGTCCACTCCGAGCCGCTCCCAGCAAGTAAATGCCCTCAGTCGCTTACAAGAGGCAGAGGCCACTCCCCGATCTTCCGTTGCCGGATCTCCTGCACCAGAGGTGGCTAGTACTCCTCAAGCTGGTGGTGCTGGTACACCTGCCGTCGGTGGACAAAGTCAAAGCACATCGCAGCCCCGTGCACCGACAGTTGAAGAACGCGATGATATACTGCCAACATTCCCACTTGACAGTGCGATCCTTATGTCTATTGCCCATGCTGCTCGGTCTGATGAACGTAAAATGCGAGACTTCCTTGGCGGTATCATGGTTGTTGGAGGCGGAAGCTTGATCAACGGGTTTCACTTGTTCCTTGAGGAGCGATTGCAGGCACTTCGGCCTGGATTTGCTAAAGAGATAATGATTGGCACCCCTCCTCGAGATCTTGATCCTCAGGTGGTTGTATGGAAGGGCGCAAGCGTATTCGGGAAGTTGAGCGGAACCAATGACAGCTGGATTGGACAGTTGGAGTACGACCGGCTAGGTCATAGACTGATGGCCTACAAATGCATGTGGGCTTATTGATTCTATGTCTTTCTTTCCTTTGATATTCTTTGCTATCATTATCTCTTTATACTCTGAATGACGGTATTGACATTACGGGATGCCTTTGTTAGAAGGATCTGTACTTTAGATGATTGGTTATGCATGGAACAATTCACTTTGGATGAAGTGCATGCACTTGTATACATAATGAGTGAAAGCAGGAGTAGCCCATGGGTCTTATTATAATCAACAATTCACTTATTCTCAGGACCATTCGACATACAACCTGTTACAATATATACCTCCCTCGGACCAACATTGATCCGCCTGCAGTTCACCCAACCACACTAAACCTTAACTGAAAGGCGGTGAAACAGTGCAGAATGGATCCTCCAACCCCAAGTAAGTTTGTCCATGTAGTCTGTTTTTGATAAAGCTGGAAACGAGGTCATTCTAAACCTGTCCAATCTTCTCAGAGCTTACTCCTCTTGAAACTAAAGATCGCGGCTCGACTGATCGCATAGTTTCAGATACCGAAATTCCTGATATTACTCTTTCTTCTCCATGTGAGTGCAAAAGAATGTCGCAAATAGATTCGGAGCTGCTACTGACCAGCCTACTATACAGTGGTTTCCCCACCTTTGATTGAGACACAAGCTCAAGAGACGGCCGATACTGGTAGCTCGAATATGTCGAAGAGCAAGGATGGCAGCTCCTCCGGGGGTTTTCATCAGGAGTATATCGCGTCCTTGCGTTATCGGAATGACCTTCCTCCTCCTGATATGCCCCCGAAGTTCCTTGATATTCCACACGACGGACTAGAGCGTTTCCTAACGCCAGGGTTTGCCTCTAACTTGGCACGTCGTGAAGAACCAAACATTGATGTAGACGCTGAGGGCGGTATGCCCATTGACCTGGTGGGCATCCCGGGCTTGCACTTGGGCGATGAAAGTGGTACGTAACTTCTTCACCGGGCGCTTCACGATATGACATGGCTAACGGAGTGTATGTCTATAGCGATCATGGCACCCGAGAATCCGGACCCAATTGACCCGGCCGACCTTCCACTTTTGATGACTTTAGACCAGCTGAAGAACCCAGCACCGCGGAATGCGAACGTTAGTTTTCTTCGTCGCACACAGTACATTTCGGCTGGTCTTCGAGCACCGGATGGTCCTAAAGTCACACCTATGCGATCGAAATCCCGTCCAGCTGAAAAAGCTAAATCCCAGGACGACCCGGCTTACATCAAGAAATACATACAAAAGGGATTCGATATTGCATACCCCGAAAGCAAGCACGTTGGGGAAGACACGCCCAGCCAAATCAAAGGGCACACGCCCACTAAACTTGAAGTTGATGCATGGGCCAGTCCTGTGCATCCGGACAACCCTAAGTTGAAACCTGTCGGCTTTTACCCTCTCCTGCCCGACCTCCAAGGATTCCCAGACCCTGGCGGTTTCGTCCAATTCAAGTTTGACAAAGCACCTGTTCAAGATGCCTCTGGAAAGCGTGATAGGCGCATGGACACCGGTATCTTGCTTCCCTCCGCGCCAGAGGAGCGCGTATGTGAGGAGCATGCGACGAAAGTGGCTCTGCACAAGACGAACCCCAAGCTGTACCCTGATCCTGGCCCAATTCCCTGGGATTATGATCTCTTCCTCCCTGAGAAGAAGGATTCTATCAAGAAAGTTCTCGCAAGCTTACAAATATATAACCCCAACCGTGACAATGAGGAGCTTTACACCCACGAAGGTTCTGATAACTCGAAGTTCCACCGTTTCGATCGCATGCGCACTTTTGCCACAAGCGCCCAGACGCTTGGTGGTGATAACAAGCAGAAAGATATTGCGGTGACACTTTTCAATCCGTCAGAAGCGAAGGAAGATTATATGTCTTCGAAGCAGAAGGCTGCATACTATTACCCCATTCTCGGGAAGACCCGCCTGAAGCCCGAGAGAGCCCGCACTATTGCACAGGCAGGCCTTGCTCCTACCCGCCCTAAGACGAAGGAAGACCAGGTTGACCAAATACAAGTTGTTGTTCGCGATCCGGATGAGGCGGAAGTGTACAAGCGCTCTTTGCATAGGGCAGCCATTGACCCGAAGTTCGCAAAGACGATGCCCCCTCCACCAGAGGGTGCGAACGATGAGCACGAGTCACCTGAAGAGGGTGACAAGGAGGCTATCTCCGGAGATCGTGAGATGAGTGTTGAAGAGGCGGATAGGATGAGTGACGATTAACTGAGCCTTTCGTGCTCTCTCCACCCTATCTCTATATCCTACCATCCCATAATCACGACCATGGCTGTATATGTTTCTTTTGTCCTCTGCATATTTTCATACCCTATTCGTATCATGACGCCGAGATACCGTTGGGCCTCGCTGCCTTTGCATCTCTCCTTTCAGTAGAATGTTCTGGCTATTGCCGGGACGTGATTGATGCGGTTGGCTTCTCTTTGGTATCAAGGCTGCAAAACACGGCGTTGACTGGCATGAATAAACATGGATTTCAATTAGCGAGAATCTTGCGCTGTTTGGTTATTGAATGTCTTCCTCTGATTTGCTTTGAACTTTTGTTTTCCGTCCACCGATTCTTGGATAAGGTACAAATTAGCACATAGCCTGTTTCATACAATTGCGGATGATTCCAACCCACTGGATGTTCCTTGTAGTAGATACCGTCAATTCTGATTGGCCCCCGTTTCAGCCAGCTTGACCCCTCATGCTTACATCATCCTAGCGGCCACCAAGCCTAAAACAGCAAACAATAAACATGATGCCGCCCGCAAAAACACGGCGCCCGCCAAAACAATCCACCGCCCAATTCAATTGTGCGCTATCAGTCCCCAGCGTTCTCCTATGCACTTGGTTATCCAGTTGATGGGGCTGATTCCGGAGTCGCAATCATGAGGATTACTGAGGTCGTTATCGACGTAAGCCTTCCTTATGCACAGCGATGCCAACGAGAGCTTGAGAATACTAACCGGAAGTGGTAGGGTTTCAAATCGTACGCCGTGCGTACGGTTATATCAGGATGGTATGCGCTGACCCAGTCCGAACGAGCGAGTTGGATAGAGGCAATTTATCCTCATATGCCTGTTAAGATCACCCGCGGAGTGCAACGAGAGCGCTAACCAGATTATAATAGGGATGAGTCCTTCAACTCCATCACGGGCCTGAACGGCAGTGGTAAATCCAATATCCTTGATGCTATTTGTTTCGTCCTCGGTATCACGAACATGTCGACCGTTCGCGCGCAAAACCTGCAAGATCTGATTTACAAGCGTGGCCAGGCCGGTGTAACGAAAGCCAGTGTGACCATCGTCTTCGATAATAGGGACACCGCCAAATCCCCGATCGGTTTCGAAGAATATGCGAATATCTCCGTAACTCGACAGATTGTTCTTGGTGGTACGAGTAAATACCTGATTAACGGCCACCGTGCGCAGCAGCAGACCGTGCAGAATCTGTTCCAGAGCGTGCAGCTGAATATCAACAATCCGAATTTCTTGATTATGCAGGGAAGGATTACGAAGGTGCTGAATATGAAGGCGGTCGAGATTCTGTCTATGATTGAGGAGGCGGCTGGTACACGAATGTTTGAGGATCGAAGGGAAAAGGCGGCTAAAACGATGGGCAAGAAGGAGTTGAAGCTGCGCGAAATCGAAGGCCTCCTTCATGAGGAAATCGAACCCAAACTCGAGAAGCTCCGCTCCGAGAAGCGTGCTTTCCTGGATTTCCAACAGACTCAGAATGACCTGGAACGTCTTACTCGCTTGGTTGTTGCCCACGACTATCTTCGCAGTAACGAGCGGTTACGGGTCACGGGTGATGAATTCGAGAGCAAAAAGCGCAAGGTGCAAGCGATCGAGGATAATGCGGTCAAGCTTAAGAGTGAGATAGCTCACTTGGAAGAGGATGTGAAGCGGGTGAGAGCGGCTCGAGATAAGGAATTACGGAAAGGCGGAAAGTTCCAGGCACTTGAGGATGAGGTTAAGACTCACTCTCACGAACTTGTCCGGTTGACGACGGTGTTCGATTTGAAGAATGCTAGCATTGCAGAAGAAAAGGAGAAACACAAGGAAGCGCAACAAACTGTCAAAGATCTGGAGAAGCTCCTTAAGGAGAAGAAGAAGGTCTACGATAAGTTACAAGCACAATATGATGCTGCAAAGGCAGAACTAGACGCGCAAACAGCCGAAGTCGAACAGAAGGAGGAACTGCTCCAAACATTGCAGACGGGTGTGGCCTCGAAAGATGGCCAGGAAAGTGGTTATCAAGGTCAACTACAGGACGCTCGTAATCGCGCCAGTGGCGCGGCCACTGAACAAGAACAAGCAAAGCTCAAGATTGCACACTTGGAAAAGCGAATCAAGGAAGAGGAACCCAGAGCCAAGAAAGCAAAGGAGCAGAACACGGGTCTCTTGAAGGATCTTGAGGGTCTCAAGTCCCAAGCCAAGAAACTGGATGCGGAACTGGCAAGACTTGGGTTTGAACCAGGGAGAGAGGAGCAGCTCTACCAGGAGCAAACGACTTTGCAGAAAGAAATCCGTGAGCTACGCCAGAGAGCCGATGGACTTCAAAGGAAGGTTGCGAATATTGATTTCCAATATGCCGACCCACATCCGAACTTTGATAGATCGAAGGTCAAGGGCTTGGTCGCTCAGCTCTTTACGCTCGACAAAGAGAAGCTCCAAGCTTCTACGGCCCTTGAGATCTGTGCTGGTGGCCGCTTGTACAACGTTGTTGTCGACAGCGCAGAGACCGGAACGCAGTTGCTCCAGAAGGGAAAGCTGCGCAAGCGTGTGACAATTATTCCTTTGAACAAGATCTCATCATTCAGAGCTTCTGCCGAGAAGATCGGGGCCGCGCAAAACATTGCTCCCGGAAAGGTAGACCTTGCCTTGTCGCTCATTGGATACGATGAGGAAGTTACATCGGCTATGAACTACGTCTTCGGCAACACCTTGATCTGTAACGATGCAGACACCGCAAAGAGGGTGACTTTCGACCCCTCAGTCCGTATCAAGAGTGTCACACTGGATGGTGATGTTTACGACCCGTCTGGTACTCTGTCTGGTGGTAGTTCGCCGAACTCGAGCGGTGTCCTCATTACCTTGCAGAAATTAAACGAGGTCACAAGGGAAATCCGGAGCAAGGAGCGACTACTTGCTACTCTGGAAGAAACGATGAGAAAGGAAAAGAAAAAGCTTGACGCAGTCCGTACGATCAAGCAGGAGCTGGACCTCAAGACTCATGAGATTAAACTTACAGAAGAACAAATCAGTAGCAACTCTTCCTCATCGGTGAGTTTCATTTTTCTTGTAAAGTTAGATACGAAACTGACACTCTTAGATTATTCATGCTGTCGAGGAGATGAAAGCAAATATTGAGCAACTGAAGAAAGATATTTCCGACGCAAAAGCTCGTCAGACGGAAGCATCCAAGGATATCAAGCGAATTGAAAAAGACATGAGTGAATTTAATGACAACAAAGACAGCAAACTGGCGGAACTACAGGAGTCCCTAGACTCCCTGAAGAAGAATCTCGCTAAAAATTCGACTTCCGTCAAGACTTTACAGAAAGAACTACAGGCGTCTCGACTGGAGTCGGAGCAAGTAGGAAGTGATCTCTCAGCCGCCGAAGAACAGAGCGCTGAGGCTGAGAATGCCCTGAATGCCCAAAAGGAAGAAGTCAAATCGCTCAAAAGAGAACAGGCACGGATCAAGGTACAAAGAAAACCGAAGTTATAGTTGAGAATCGGTTGCTGACCCGTCATAGGACGCCCACGATATTGCCCAGGCCCACCTTGACGATGAAAGAGCTAAGCTTACTGGTTTTGATGAGGAGCTACGAGAACTTGAGCAGACAATGCAGGCAAAGAACTCACAGATCACCGAAGAGGGCCTTGATCTGCAGAAGCTCGGCCATCAGCTTGACAAACTACAGAAAGACCAACAGGCTGCAGCTCAGACCGTTGCCCATATGGAGGAAGAACATGAGTGGATCGAGGATGAGAAAGATAATTTCGGTCGTCCTAACACTCCTTACGACTTCAAGAACCAGAACATTGCCGAATGCAAGGCCACCCTTCGGAATCTTACGGAACGTTCTCAGGGCATGAAGAAGAAGATCAATCCCAAGGTCATGAACATGATCGATAGCGTGGAGAAGAAGGAGGCTGCCCTGAAGAATATGATGAAGACCGTGGTCCGTGATAAGCGTAAGATTGAAGAGACCATTCTCAATCTGGACGAGTACAAGAAGGAGGCTCTTCACAATACCTGGACCAAAGTCAACGGCGACTTCGGCCAGATCTTCGCAATGCTTCTTCCCGGCAGTTTCGCTAAGCTGGATCCTCCAGAGGGCAAGGAGATCACTGATGGCCTGGAAGTTAAGGTGCAACTTGGCAAGGTTTGGAAACAGAGCTTAACAGAACTGAGTGGTGGACAACGGTGAGCAGAGCATCTTAATCATCCACACGGAATTTTGGCTAATCATTCTACAGGTCCCTCATCGCTCTTTCCCTCATTATGGCACTTCTGCAATTCAAACCGGCACCCATGTACATTCTGGACGAGGTCGATGCCGCCTTGGATCTGTCTCATACACAGAACATTGGTCGCTTAATCAAGACGCGCTTCAAGGGTTCTCAATTCATCGTCGTGTCACTGAAGGACGGCATGTTCCAAAACGCCAACCGTATCTTCAAGACACGATTCAGCGAAGGAACGAGCGTTGTTCAGGCTTTGACTCCTGCCGACTTGAAGTAATCTGTTCATGGTACTCCTTGAGGTTAGAATTTGGGGTGGAATGCATATATCACAGTCTTCTTTTTGGTTGGGCATTGTGGGATAAGAGCGCATTATGTGGCACGTTCTTGGCCGAGGTTTGGAGGCGGTTTTTTTCCGGAATGATGGATATGGATCTGGATGAACTTCTTTTCTTTTTATATTTGATTCTTTTTTGATGACAGTTACATTCTTGTCTCTACTTCCTTTATAATGATGCACATGACATAAGATCCTCTGTGAAGCTGATGGTATAAGGGGGGTACATAAAGTGAGGCGGTACAGAGTCCCGTGGTTCGGATTTTCCCATGGGGCGACACGAGTCTCGACAGCCGCGGAAGTTGCTGACTTCCGACTGGTATTAATTGTCCCGAGAATGCAAATAATCACTCGGAGGTCCAACTTCACCAGTTCCGTGCTCCGTACCTCGCAGTCTGCATTTTCAGACCTTTTCACCCCCCATTTCACGTATTTGAAAGCCTTCCAAAGCGTGTCATTCATTTTTCTTTTGTATTTGCCTGTCTCCCTGGTCATCGTCCATCAGTACGAACCTCTGGTGGGCTGATTTGCTAGTCCCGAGTGTGGCGCCCGGCTGAACGTCTTCCACCGCCACATTTATTATCTAAGGCTGAATTAAATACTCCGTACTCCGACCGCCTCCTGGACGTCATTCCCCGGAAAGCGTTCCCACGTCGATCCCCGACTTTTAGCCAGTCACCTTCGCACGGCCTTCTGGCGTTTTACTGGCAGTGTTTTTGAACTCTTCGCTTCGTCGCAAAATCGGGATCTCACGTACACTTTCACCCCTCTCCCGACATCATGCCCGAGGAGGAGCCGTCCCTGAACATCTCCTCGCTGCTGACGCTCGCCGTCGTGTCATTCTTCGTCATCCGATGGTTTCTCAAGCGTGACGGCGATGGAGGTGATGGAAGCGGTCGCAGTCGTGCGCGCGGAGTCATCGACCCAGCACAAGTGGAACAAATATCCCAGATGTTCCCTCAGCTAAGCACACGCGACATCATGTGGGACTTGCAGCGCAATGGTGGTAACGTCGCAGCAACCACGGAGCGCATCCTGACAGGTCGAGGACTGGAGACAGTAAGTATATGCTTCTTTTGGTGGCGCGAGTGTCGCGCAGCGTAAGCTGTATGCTGACGGGTAACTTCTTTGCAGCCGCCACCCTCGTTCCAGCCTCAGGTCGCCATCCCCCAGGCCAGTACGCCCGCAGCACAAACTGCCGCCGCCTCCGCGGCATCGAAATCGGATGGTCAGGACCTGATTTCGCGGTACAACCTTAGCGGCAAAGTCGCCACCGACGGCGCTGAGACCACTCAGTCATCTCCGTCGTCTGGCTGGTCACAGAACAAGGAGGAACGTCAGCGTATCCTCCAGAAGCGGAGGGACGATATGATCCTGGCGGCGAGGAAGCGAATGGAGCAGAAAGTTCGGGGAAGTGCGTAACCGAGATGCAGAATGATTCTGGATACTTTATCTCGGTCTATATCTCTTGCCTTTCTTTGTTTATTCTTTTCTTTGTGAAACCCTATTCCTTCCGAGAATCTTATACTCTGTTGGCGCTGGGGATGTGTAGATTGCAAAAACGCGGGTCTTTCCTGAACTGATTCTTCCTTTCATTTTGCTATACCCGGTTTTGGTTTCCCACTCTTCTCCGACATCCTGTTTTTCACTTCTCTCTTTCTCCCAGCGTCTGTTTCCCGCAAAGCGTTGCATGCTTATGGTGTTAGGTTGAATCAGAATACCCGAGGCTTAGGTACTAGGAAATATAGGGTATATATACATATATAGATTGAGTTAGTTTAGTAATGGTTTTCATGAGGTAATTCTCGTTATAGATGTTGTCAATTGCTTAAGTCGCACGTGCCCGTACATCTATCCTTTTTAACGACAGACTATTCTGTTATTCACTGAACCTACCGTACGAAGCAAGTGTAGCAAGCAATATACCAGGCTGTTTCAAAGGATCTTCACCAACGCCCAGGGGCTACATCACCATCATTACGACCATTATCGCCAGAGCTCTCCTTATCCTCATCCCAGAGGAAAATTTCATCTCTCATTCGCCGCCGAGCCTCCGGGTCCTGCTCTCGCGCTCTGTGGAGGTCGAAAGCCTGCCCGATAATCTTGTATAGTAGGCCGGTGACTTCCTGTTTATCATCCCATACCAGACAGCGTTTGGACACCTATTTGTCATTGTATCAGTTCACTTCGTCAGACTTCCATTCAAAAATGACAAAACTTACACGGCCCCTATCGCTGAGGTGCAAGAAGGTCCAACTGTCGCCATCGGTACAGACTCCATAGATGCCGCCCTTATACTTCCTCGCCTTCCGGGCGGCATAAACGATCGACATGCTCGGAAGGGCTGCCCAGCATTCATCATACAGTCGACTGCTGCTTCGAACTACCACCAAGTTCGTGTCCCAGTCTCCACGCGCCCCATATCACAGAACGTAGTCCACCGATGCCGTCAAAGCCTGATCACCAGATCCAGTGATCGTCGTCTCGAAATGCCAGTACGGTGCTGCGTGAATGTAACCACCGGGCGGTGATGAATCACCGTAAAGTTGATCCTTCTTCCTCCTCACGATAGCCGACAGCTGCAGCAGAACCCAGTCCACTTTGGGTCGAACTGAGCTTGACTTGGTGTCCTCGGTGGAGTATACGAGGGCGATGTCGGTCATCAGTTGTCCTAAAGATAGTTAACATGGCGATCTCGTACCTACTGATTATAGAAACAAACTAAAATGTTCCGGCATCTGAACGCTCATACTCTCCTGATCCACGGTCCATACCTGTTTTTCTTCGGCATCTGAACTGGGGGAAAGCTTCAGCCTGTGAAGTATATGCGCAAAAGCCTGTCTGGCTGGCTTATCCGTGTTGGTGGGTAGGTGAAGTCGATCCATAGATTGCTTGATGAATTCGACCTCTATCTTCTCCATTTTATGCTTTTTGCTGATGTGGCGCCCTGGGTGTCTCATTGTGAAACACATATTATATAAGTGAATGAGAAACAGAAGAGACGAGTGAAGCAAAAAGTAAGGAGAAAAGGTGAAGAAATGATTCAATAGAATGGGATGGGTGGTAGGGAAGTATTCCGTAACAACGATGTCAACCTTTTGCCTGCCTACCTAACCGAGCCTACCTACCCAGGCACTATCACTTTACATGTAATGAAGTGAAAATAATTAATAGCTCTCCCTTTGGACGTTCTAGCCCTCGACCTAGGCTCTAGTCAGCCAGGACTAAAGTACCTATCAACTTGAGTCCATTTATCACTATGGAGGCTGTTTTGAACCGTACTGAGGTGAAGATCAAAAAGATCTTGGGGAAGATAAGAGACAATGCCCTTCACAAGGAAGTTGATACTATCTTCAATATTGCGAGGGCTGAGAGCAGGAGGGCCATCCAGTCCCAGAAGGAGCCATTGCCCCATATTCCCGTCACATCTCTCAATCCCCAGGATGTCTCCAACATCTTCGGGATCAAGGAAGGAGGAGAAGATAATCCTTGGAGATTCACCCAAGATGAGTTGCGCGCAGTCCCCGACAACCTCAGTAAGTTTGTTTTGGTTTCTGAATTCCTAACCCTGGATGGAACTAATAACAATAGAATATATTCTCGCGGATTACGAAGTTGCTACGGGCGGCTCCCCCGAGAACGAAGCTCTCATGAGATGCAGAATCGACGCAATTCTCCTGACCTGCCTAGCCGCCCAGAAGAGAGCCAGTGCCCGGGATTCTAGTTCATCGATCCTATCCGTTCACCTCCGGTGTGAGACTGACATGCTGCTGCCTTGGACATATCAGGGCGAGCGAAAGATCGTCTCGGGTACAACGGACTATTCCCTTTGGTATCAAGCACCACAGGAGATGGAGTGTAATCTTCTGGTGGTGGAAGCAAAGAGAAAGGGGGTCTCTGGCGACTACCAAGCATTGGCCTATATGGGTAGCTTTGCTGTAGTCTATTGAGCGTATATATGTTTACTCACCAATTAACAGCGATGCTTCATCATGCGCGAAAGGAGATACAGCGGAAGGATGTTTCGATCTATGGCATCGCCACTGACAGTTTCACGTGGACTTTTTTGTATCTCGACAATAGCGGAAAGGTAGAATGCCATCTAACCATCTTCTCTCGCCGATCCAGCTAACGGGATTTTCCAGTGGAGCAGACGTACTTACCAGTGGGAATCTGGCCAGGGGAATTTAATCGTTTCTATGATACATAAGATTATCCGCCGAGCCGCGTCTTTGTCCAAGCAAGAGCTCGAAACGTCTGCTACTAGCACTGGGGTGAAGAAAACTCTTAGCGGAAACAGCAAACTGGAGGGATTTTTCCACAGGGAAACAGTTTAGATAGCTTGGTCTCTGAACCTCATTGTTTTCACATTTCTTGATTTTAGCTGGTTTTCCTTTAGACACCAGTTTTGCTGAATAGACTCAGTCGTGGATACCATGCTTATTCTAAGAAGAACTGTCGTGATAATATTGTTACCTCCAGGCATGAATAGATACTTATCACTCTCCATACTCAGCTTGACTGAAGGAATCAGGATCGACTTACCCGATCAAGAAACAGATCTTATCAACCATCGAACCGCCTATCATGTGCCCAGATATATGTAAACCCCGCCTCTCGAAGCCCTAGATCATTCCCCGATGCATTAACGCATTTCAATCCAATGTAACCCTTTACTTTCTTCACAGAACCTATATAAATAGACACTAAGATCTCCCGAGTAGCCTCCGAACCACGTAACAAGCCCAGCTCCGGTCCCCTCCTTATTCATCCACCACCAACAACACCACAATTATACCACTGCAACCCCGCATATCCACCCTAACCATGACGGCCATCCCCGAAACCCAAACCGCAGCAGTGCTCCCCCCCTCCGGCGCAACCGCCGATGCCCTCCTCCAGATCAAAACAGACCACCCCGTGCCGTCCCCCGGCGAGGGAGAAATCCTCGTCAAGATCGAGTATTCGGGGGTCTGCCATTCGGATGTGCATAGTATTCGTGGGGAAACGCCGATGTTGACCGATGTGGCGGGTCATGAGGGGGTGGGGAAGGTTGTTATGGGTATGCACTATCATGTCAATTCTACTTGTTTATTGACCTGGAACGATAGTTGGCTATGGATTATATGATGATCATGCTAATTGTCTTTTTCAGTGGGTAATGGGGTTAATGAGCAGGAGTGGATTGGGAGGAGGGTTGGGATTAGGTTAGTGGTTTTATCTCTTTGGATTCATTGTCGCTTCATGGCGGTGTTAATGTGGACGTGATATGGCAGATGGCTGTATAGTTCCTGTTTGAACTGTGAGATTTGCGTGGTGAACAATACGGCGTGTCCGTATCAGAAGAACGCGGGCGCGGTATATTCTCCCCCCCAGTGAATGCCTTTCCCTCTGTTGGTGGACATCGTGCTGATGTGGATTGCGGTGTAGAATGTACCTGGGACTTTTCAGCGTGAGTGAGCCTGCCACAGAGCATGCTGTGGGGTGAAGTAGCTGATGAACTGGGGTTCAAGAGTATATCGTCAGTCCTGCGATTCATGTCACGAAGATCCCCCCGGAGATTGCGCCAGATGTAGCTGCGCCGTTGCTGTGTGGTATGTTGTGCTCTTCGAGTGTACTAGGTTCATTCTATTCGTGCTGAGTCTTCTACAGCGGGAATTGCAATGTACTCATCGATTATGAAGACGAGGACACGACCGGGCGATTGGATCGTTCTCCCGGGGGCTGGTGGTGGTCTGGGACATATGTTTGTTGCCCCGGCTGAGATATGCAAATTTAATCATGCTGACAACCTTCCAGGGGGGTTCAGATTGCAGTCAGAAAAGGACTGAAAGTCATTGCGATTGATAGGTACTACTTCCCCTCACCATTGTAGCGATCGTTCAATCCGCACTAATACTCTCCATAGTGGCGAAAAGAAGAAGGAGCTGTGTCTTGCTCTCGGAGCCACCGCTTTCTTTGATTACAAGATCGACGATATCGAAAAGGAAGTGAAGAAACTAACAGGTGGACTCGGAGCTCATGCGGTAATCTGCACCGCCAATAGTGAACCGGCATACACGCAGAGTATGCGATTGCTTCGCAGCCTTGGGGTTCTGGTGTGCGTGGGCATACCCAGTGTTCCGTTCAGGCTACCGGCGACTCCGTTTGATATGATTGTTAAAGGGCTTACTATTGTGGGGAATTCTGCGGGTACGGCAAAGGAGATGGACGAGTTGATGGAGATGGCTGTCGCTGGTGACGTGCGGGCCCATATTGAGTGCTTTGAGCTTGATCAGATCAATGATGTGGTGATGCGACTTGGACGGTCCGAGATTGATGGGAGAGCTGTAGTGAAGATTCCGGAATAGACGACTTCCTCGTTCACTGGGACGGATCGTTTCGTCTTCTAGAGTATGTATACAGCGTTTCTAAATATCAAAATTTCAGTAGCAGTCTCTAGTCTCGCTGTTAATAAGATCAGAGGTATGGGGAAGGGCATGCTCAGGTATCCATCCAACCTTTGGGAGAGTGGAGTATGAAGTTCACAAGTTCGACCCGCTAAGCGCGGTACACCATATTGGCATTGCACTCTAATTGAGGGCTCCACTGAGACAGTCTCGTCGGATTCGGTCGAGAGCAGGGTGGCACGGAGAATGCGATATTTCGCTCATATCCTGTATTTGTGGCAAAACATGAACTCAATCTGAGCCCATGCAGGAGGACTTCGCTCAGCGGAAGGCCTGGGGCCAATACCAAAAAAGTGGTCCGTCGCATGGTAGAAGTATAAACCCGATAGTACTCAGATTAGGGGTCCTTGCCAGAAGTATAGGATAAAGATGGTATAGTAGTTACCCGACCACAATCCAATTTGAAACCACGGGGCTCAGTTTTCGTCGTGCGAGTTGACCATCGTGCAGGTTTAAGTGGGAAAGCATATTGAGAACGTCCTCGCATACCATGAACGAATAACGGTGGTGGTCGAATGGATCCGCCAGGGGGGGAAGTGTGCCGGCAGACCGCCCGCTGATTGGTGCACCCGAAGTATGCAACGCAGGAACCTCGAACATCATCCGTATTTTGGCTCTCATTTCTTCCCCACGACTTTCCTCGGGCTTGACTCCCTGATGGCCAGTGCATGTCCACACATGCAGACATGCTGCTCTCTGACTTGTCGGTTGCGCCTGGTGGATCGGATCCCTCTGCGTCGGTACTCCAGCTCCACGAACAGATCCCCCGTCGCCCATACTAGTAGTGGCAGCGTCGTTGCTAAATTTCGACCTGAGAAGGCAATGACCCGTTCACTTTCGGAGTTTATTGTCCTTAGTCGGACTCAATTGCTTCGACGATAATTCGCCTCAGGCCTCGTGCAGCCAATGGAGCTTCGTGAGAGGATCTGCTTTCATCCTCGTTTTCCCGCGGCTATCGATCATATTCCCCTTTGAGCCGGTGTAGATTATCACTTGCCACGCCCATGTGTGTTTCTGATAGGACCTCACCTTGCTATCCCTTCATTTGGATCCGTCTTTGTAATGGATGGAGGGGCATGGTGGGGCACTAGAACGATGCATTCAACGCGGTTCTAGTCGGGTGGAGGCATTTGATTCAAGAAGGCCCTCTGTCCTCGCTCTTGGGTCTCTTTCAGTGTCAGATTCATCTGTCTCCCTCCTTGAACAGGAGAATCAGCTTCTCTCCAACCACATCGAAACGCCATGAGCTCCTCCCTAAGTAGTAGCTTAGGCGGTGTCGCGAACCGCATGGACTGGCTCTATGCCTACATCGCTGGCACTGCTTTCCTTGTCTGCGGCTTGGTCGCCGTCGTTCTCTTATTATCTTCTCAAAAGCAGAAGGCCGGATTCAACAAAAATGGTGGCCTCTTGACCTATGTGAATTTTATTTATGCCACATTCCTCAAACCCCATGACAAAACTGGCAATGGCCAACAGGACGCCTTGGAGAGCTTCTACAAGACACAGGTGGGCATTGTTGAGTTTCGTACGGTTTTGTAGCTCAATTGCTAAAAGATAATTAGGCTGGTGCGTACGATGCCACGCGCAAGCGCCTTCTACGTGGCCGAGAGGACATGCTTGGTCTGGCTGCAGCGCAGCTGAAGTTTAAGGCGGAGAATAAGGAGCTTAAAGCTGGAAAGGCAATCTGGGTTGATGTAAGATCATTTCCATCTCCCGCAATTATTTGAGACGTTGCTGACAATGTAGATTGGCGGTGGTACTGGGTAAGCGCAGTCGAAAAGCCAGTGCTGGTCTGCTCTAACTGTTCTACAGATACAACATCGAAGCTATGTCAGCTTTCTTGCCCGTAAACGAGTTTTTTTCCCACGTCTACCTGGTCGACCTTTCCCCTTCTCTTTGTCAGGTAGCTCGTGAACGGTTTGCGCGACTGGGGTGGAAGAACGTCAGCGTTGTCTGTCAAGATGCGCGGTCTTTCCGCTTGCCAGACGCAGACAGCGTTGATCCACGGACGAAGACCGACCCGGGCGCAGATCTCATTACCATGAGCTATAGTCTGTCTATGATTCCCGATTATTATAGTGTGGTTGACTCCCTCCCGGCGCTGTTGAAGCCGTCCGGAATACTGGGAGTTTGTGATTTCTACGGTATGTGCCCGATGTTGATTGTCCGCGATGCGTTGTCTCAAAATGGACCTTCTTCCCCCCTTTCATATGTATCATGCGCAACATGTATAAAACTAACAGCTTATAGTTCAAAGTATCGTGGATGTTTCGTCCCGCAATTACACCGGGGGTGCCTTCAACCGCCATGTCAACTGGCTTGGCCGGGTCTTCTGGCGTGCTTGGTTTGATGTGGACCGTGTGAGCCTCGAAGCTGCCCGCAGGGATTACTTGGAATATCGATTCGGAACGGTTGTCTCGGCTAGTGAAAGAAACTACCTCCTCGGAGGAATCCCGTACTACATCTTCGTCGGATGCCAGAAGGATATCACCTCGAGCCAATCTGGTAGGGAGGCCATTGAAAAACTGGATGCATCCTTCACTGAATCGCCATACCTTTCCCCCGCCAACCATCGTCAGGAGATGGATAAAGCCATTGAATTGAGTGCACAAGAGGTACGCTCCAAAGCGTACGAATCTGCCGTCATCAACCTGGGTTCCAACCTCCCCCTCCCGTCCTCTTTCTACCAAAACCACCACTACCGGATATTCTACAACGATCTGCTTCCCAAGCACACCCAGTTCAAGAACGAATACATCTACGCTTTTAACTGGGAAGACCCTCGCGTAGATCACCGTCTACTTGACATTAAACGAGACGACGTGATCCTGGCAATCACAAGCGCAGGGGACAACATCTTGGACTATCTTCAGAAGAGCCCCCGACGCGTGCATGCCGTTGACTTGAATCCTAACCAGAATCATCTCCTTGAACTTAAGGTTGCAAGCTTCATTGCCCTTGGTCACCGTGATGTCTGGAAGATCTTCGGCGAAGGAAAGCACTCTGAATTCCGCCAGCTTCTCATCTCGCGACTGAGCCCACACCTCTCAAGCCAAGCATTCCAGTATTGGCTTGAGCATTCTCATATCTTCACATCCTCATACAGCAGAGGGCTCTATGAGACTGGAGCTCACGCCACGCAATTAAGATGGTCCGTTACCTCTTCAAGGTCTTCGGACTGGAAGCGCAAGTGCGAAAACTGTGCGAGGCCCAGACAATAGCCGAGCAGCGTGAAATCTGGCCGCGTATCCGCTCGGTCTTGATGAGCAAGCCTCTTCACTGGGCTGTCGTCGGAACCGAATGGTTTGCTTGGAAGGCCGCAGGCGTGCCTCGGAATCAGCGAAACATGATCATTGACGATTTCTTCAAGCGAAACGGCCTCACCCACGACATGAAACAGGCCAAGGACATCAGCGGCCAATCAATTTGGGAATACGTGGTTGATACTCTGGACCCTGTTGTCAAGGACACTTTGATCAGCAATGACAATTACTTCTATTTCCTGTGTCTACAGGGGCAATTCTCCAGAAGGTGAGATTTCTCGGTGCACCTTAATAACGACTTAACTAACCGTGGCAGATGCCACCCCACCTACTTGTCTCCCAAAGCGCATGTGAAGCTGTCATCTCCGGGGGCTTTTGATGGTCTTCGCATCCACACAGATGAGATCAATGAAGTGATCAAACGGATAACACCGGGCAGCCTAACCATTGCCGTGGTAAGTGTCGCCCCATCGGCTACAGCACGCTCAACTGGACTGACATTCGTCTCAGGTCATGGACTCGATGGATTGGTTCGACCCCGAAGGGAACGATGCCTCGGTGCAGGCACAGAAGCTGAACCACGCTTTGAAAATGGGCGGTCGTATACTGCTCCGTTCGGCTAGTGTCGACCCCTGGTACGTGCGACACTTTGAGGAGAACGGCTTCTCTGCACGACGTGTCGGCGCCCGATTCCCGGGAACATGTATTGACCGGTAAGTTTGACTTTCTGAGTTTCACGGAGGATTGTGAGAGACGTGGTACTGACAGCAGAAGGGTGAACATGTATGCCTCGACGTGGATCTGCACCAAGACCAAGGAACTGGAAACGGAGCGACCAACTGCCGAGCGATCGATCTCTTTACTGTCGCTGAATGAGAAGCGGTCAAGTGTAGAGCATCTTGACCTATAATTAACATTTGTCGATCTACACAGCGAGTACGAGAATCTATTTTTACACTTATGATTATTTTCTCAAATAAAGTTCAGCTCATTGGGTGAGATTTGTCTGACTAAGAGATGAGACAGCAGATGAAAATTTATACGCTGTTGGTTACAGGGTGTGACCACTAACACAATCGATGTATGTATCTTTGTAAATCATGAATGAATGAATGAATGTTGTTGGTTTACCCGGATGAGCTCGACAGTCTCACAGTCAGGGTCAAACAGGGGGTCCAGGGTTTGAAGAATGAAATGAAAGTGAAACATTGCGGAAACAATGAAGGTCACAGTAGACGCCCAACTGGAGTTAGGAGTTCGTCACATTTTTGAGGACAGGTACGTATGTCCATTTCTATTGAATTCCAAAGTGGTATGTATGTATTACCTGTCGAGTAGGTTTTTCCTCGTGTTGTTTGCCACGAAAAATGCCGGGATGAGGAGGCAAAGATTCCGTCCCGTAGCCCTAATTTCCTCCGAGTCATCAGTTCGGTTTAATTAAACGACGGGATTAGAATTTTCTGGTGCCTGACCAACGCCCCAGGAACCGAAGCTAAATAAATCGCCTGCAGAGTGAGCGCCCTACCGCCGGTCGTCAGCGAATCATTAAGCACTCAGCCTTGTTCTAGCCCCAACAATCGACCGCAGCATCGCCAGCTCACGGACCCCCCACGTCATTCGCCGCTGTGTTGGTCCCTTGAACGACTGCTCAAGTTTGGTAATCAGTCGGTTCGGAAGTGGCTCTTTGACTTCCGCGGCCATCAAAGGAAACACGCTGATTTGTTTACCTCCCGTGGATTCCGAAGCGTAATGCTGGCCGTTGTCCATCTTTCATGGCGACGTGAGACACCAGTCAAGAGCGCATGCCTGACAGCGCCGAATGGCCAGTTGACTCATCTAGCCGAGTCCCTTGCACGGTCATCATTGGATGAGAATCGGTTCCCGAATTCTTTTCGCTGAAGGCAAGCGACAGCAGGGAATATGGACCTATCATCCCGAAGCCACAGTCGAACTCGTGTTTGTCAAACCTACTTGTTCGTTAGTATTTAGGGCTTGTCCTCCCTCTGCTTCCTGGCTGCAAATTCTGCACCTCGTTTACCTTTTCGTACCCTTTACGATCTTTAGCCTAGAGCAGCGCTCTCCCACACTCATTGTGATCGCATCAGCTTTACTTTGCTTTGCAAACGTCACTCCTTTATCGTTTGTATACTCGATCCTTCAAGTTTGCGTCACATCCAATCTTAGCGCAACACCTGGTTCTTTGCAGAGATAACATCCACTGCATTGCGATATCTATCAAATCCAATCCTTCGCCATTTGTTGTCGCATACCGAATTTTCTATAGTCACAACTTGAGCACCGAAATCATGAAGGTCGCCACTATCGCATCCGTTCTCTGCCTCGCTGCCACCCAGCTTGTCGCTGCGGACACCATCACCTCAACGGCGACAAGTACGATCACTAAAACGGTGTACCGTGTTACCGCCCAAACTGCCGCTGAAAGTCTGTCGGCCACGCCTCTTGGTTCTTCTGCAGCCTCTACGGGCTCGGTGGCCTCCAGCCATGCGCACCACGCCAGTACTGCGTCGGGTAGCTCGGCCAGCACGGCTAGCCCGTCAGTTACTCTGAGCTCCGCTGCTGGAGTCTTTGACGCCAACATGCCCGTTGCGCTCGTTGCTGGCTCTGTAGCTGTCTTGTTGGGCTACCTGTAGTCTCATCGTCCGACAGTGGTAGCCTCACCAAGTGCTGTGAGACTTTTTAACGGTCAGCCATGATGTTTTCAGATATCATTACCGGCTATAGTGATTACTAGAGCTCATCACTGGCAGATCGACTTTCTTTCTTTCTTTCCTTTTTTTTTCTTCTTCCCTTTACTTCTGTGATACCATTTTTTCCGAATACTTTCCTTCTCTTCTTCCAAAGGTTTGTCTTGAAGATGATGACAACCCGGAAGAAGCTGGGTGTTAAGGATACATGATATGCTGATATACCCCTTATGACTGCGATTTGTTACGAGTGGATGGTGTTTGATGTACCCGTTGGTTACAGGCCCCCGGTGTTCTTGCAATCAGTTTGCTTGCGAATAGTCGATCCAATACAACAGGCGACGCACTATGGAGCTGCAACATGCTGTTTCGTGATGTATATAGATCGATTGATATTCCAAAGAACGTACTGGTTGACTACGTATTTTATTATTTTTTTTTTTCCACAAAGCGTCACTCTTCCCAGTAATATACTAGACAAATCATTGTTAGATGGACTAGGCGCAGACGATCGCATCAGATAAAAAAGCCGAGCCGAGTGGGCCGTTATCAGTAGCGAGTCTGATTGGCGGGTCGCGTGGGGGACGCGTGCCGGGGCTTGCAAGTAAACAAGTTCCAAACGTCCAACCCATAAAATCCACTGGAATCATTCTTCCGTCGGACGATCTGCATTCTTTCGGACACAATGGATCCGGTGCGCAGCCGGTGATGTGATCCGATCTGCGAAAAAGAAAAACGGTGTCGTCTGCGCATATACCTCTCTTGACCATTGTATCTCATCTGGTTCCTACAAGACACGCGCCCCACCAGCATTAAAGCAGTCCCGATCGCACGTTCCTGCGCGTCCTCTCCGTCTTGTTTTTTTTTTCCCGGCGTGTCACGGCCTTCGTCTGACATCATGGATAACGAGGTCCCTCTGCCCCCGCCCCGGCGCATCCGGCATCGCTCCCCGACCAAAACCCCCGTCGCGTCCGGCTCGTCGCTGCGCAAGACGTATCAGCTGTCGCGCTTTGATGACCGCTCCAGCCAGCCGTCCAGTGACCCCGCGCTCTTTTCCAGTGATGATATCCCCGCGTCTGGCCTAGAGAACTACCATGCGCCCGTCCCCTCCGGCAGCAGGAAACGACGATACCGCGGCACCTGGTGGGGCGAGATGGTGAAGGATCCGAAGCGGAAGAGGGCGGATTTCAAGGAGAAGCGACATGTGGATAGCGGTGTGTGGATGGGGAGCGACGAGTCCGGGGCGGAGTCCCTGTTGCCCTCGGAGGATCCGTCGATGTGGGGGGAGGAGTTGCTGAAAGACACAAGCAACGCGGCAGGAACAGGGAGCGGGGCTGATGTCGCTCTGCGTGATGGTGGCCGGTGGACGGCACAGGGTCAGCGGAGTGGCCTGAAAATGGTCGAGGAGCCGAAAGAGCACCAGGCTGCGCGGAATATCGTCAATGAATGCTTGGAGAGTGGACAGGATAGTGTTGACTTAAGGTGTGTTTGTGTATCCACCACGACTGTTTTTCACCAGGCTAATATCTCACAGTAATTGTTATCTGAGGGTTGTACCTTCCGGCTTACTGCGACCTTTGCAGCACCTTACTAAACTCCCTGCTATCATCGAACCTCCAATCACCGAAGATGTCTACAGCTCCTTACAGCCCTTCCTGCGTTTATTCCTCACTGGCAATTCTCTGCAATCAGTGCCTGGAGAATTGTTCGAGCTTGGCTCCTTGAAAGTCCTGAGTCTTCGCTATAACAAACTCACGGACATCCCGCCCGCCATCAGGAAGTTGACCTTGCTGCAAGAAGTTAATCTTGCCGTCAATCGCTTGCAGTACCTTCCGTGGGAGCTGCTGTGGCTGATCAAAAAGGGTGACCTGAAACATATGGTCGTCCGGCCCAACCCGCTTCTGCAGATCCACGAGGCAGAGATTGCCCAGTGGCATTCACCCGAGGGCACAGAACGGGACTCGACAGAGGGAACATTGAAGCTGCGTGACTACGAGGGCCCAGCACCCGAGGAAGCTTGGGCTCCCCTCCACGTGGCCACCGGTCCTGTGCGCCGATTCAACATGGAGGGCATGCCAGTTGATGCTCCGGCTAGCGCCAGTCAACCGAATCAGCATGAATCCCGTGTTCCGTCCCTACGGGAAGTGTCGCTCCTGGCGTGCACCCGGTCGATCTTCTTTGACCAGGTCTCGGATGAAGAGATGGCCGACTATCCCGGCTTGATACTCCGCCTCCTGCGACAGGCGAAAGAAGTGTGGAGCGGTGGTGGCCGGTCATGCTCGGTGTGCCACCGGAGCTTTGTGTTAGCTCGGACGGAATGGATCGAGTGGTGGGACTGCAGTACATATGAGAGTGGACTCAAAGGGCCACGCTGTCCAGGCGACAAACTCCGTCCTCTTCCTTTCCGCCGACTCGGTTGCAGCTGGGCCTGCGTGCCGAACGTTGAGGCGGATCAACACTGCCAGGAAATGGAGCGGGATGAGACTAGGGTGGATTGATAGTTCGGGTTCGGTCTTGTATATGTATCTGCCTTGGGCGGGCAGTATTCCTAAAGCCCAGTATAGTATTCGGGTTATATATTTATATGGGTGTATAACTACCCTATTTTCTGACATTTCACGGATTCATAAGATCCGCACCTATACCCCGACGTAGGTCCTTTGATTCGTGCATACCAAGAGAACCAGATGAGGGGAACCCTGCTTGACAACTCTAGGCAAGGACAAGAAACAAGAATGACAACCGGAGAATCTCATTCCTGGAGGTGATCTTTAGCTCCATTTCTCCGCAAAATCCCCGCACTTCAGCCACCAGACGGGGTAACCCATATACAAATCCATCTAAATCCATATAAATAAAGACATCAGACTACTCCCTGTCAACATACAGACCACAGAAAACAGATACACCACAATGACCACCCCCCAAGATACCGAATCCCTCCCAACAGCAGCCCAAATCCCCCTCCAAACTTTCCACCTCCCACCCTTCCCCCCCGAAGCAGTCTCCCTCAAACACCTAACCCTAACCTCCGACATCAAACCCACCGACTATGCAGACCTGCTATCCACCCAAGATGCAACGCCGCCAATAATCCCACCAACTCTCCCCACAGGAATCCAATCCCTGACCCTCGAACTCTTCTCCCTTGGCTACCCAGCCCCCTTCCTCACAAACCTGGGGAAATCTCTCCCCAACCTCAAAGACCTCACGCTGTACTCCCACCTCATCGACGGCGTAAGCGACGCCTCCCGTCGCGACGCAGGAGAGTTCATCCGCGGTATTCTCACGGGTTCAAACAACTATAAAGATGAGAATGAGGATGAGGATAAGAATACTACCAGTACAGGACTCCGGGAATTGCATCTCCTGGATGTATTCTGCCGGAAGGGGTTCATCGCGGGGATCGGTGATATTTTACATGACCGGAAATCCCAAGGTGCACTACGCTTCCTAGAGGTGTCGTACACGTATCGTGGCCATTCGGATGGAGAGTTTCTGGACAGGATTCCCGTGGATGAGTTGCCGCATTTGCTAGTTAAAGGGCTGGTGGGGGTGTCGTTGAGGTTGGACGCTGCTGCTGCTGGGTTGGAGGAGGACGTGCCTGATGATTCGGCTGATGTGGGGGATCGCGTTGGGAGGAAGCCGGAGGGTATTGTGCCTGTGGGGTCTGGGCATGAGGGGACGGGGTTGTTGGTGGAGAGGTTGGATGAGGTTGAATCTGGATCTGAGTCTGGGTCTGAGTCGGGGTTGAAGATGCTGGATTGTACGCTTTATACCCTGTCGCCTCAGCAGCTGGGACGTGTGCTGCGGCGTCAGAGACGGTTGGCGGTTCTCAGTGTTAGTGTCCTTGTCTCTGAGGGGGAGGATGCGAAGAAGGGGTTATTGGAGACTTTGAGATTTGGG